GAGTTAGTCTGCAGTACTGCATTCTTACCACTGCGCCACCACAGAAGGGAAGGAAGGAAGGAAGGAAGAATTGAGTCTCTCTCTCTCTCTCTCACTCTGAAGAGTGTACAGTGTAAGTGAAAAAAAGAGAGGCAATGTTTTATACTAATTTACCAAATAGCCTAGCTCAGGGGTGTCAAACTCAAGGCCCAGCTGAGGGCCAGATCCAGCCCACAGGGTGCTTAGATCTGGCAATGGGGCTGCCCTGGAAACACCAAAGGACCGGCTCGGGGTGCCTCTACCAGCAAAAATGGGGCCCGGGGGAGGGGGGCATGTGTAAGCTCCATTTTCACTGGCAGAGGGATGCAGGAGGCTGTCGCAGCCGAAAGCAGGAGCCCGTTTTTGCTGGCGGGGCACTTGGGCCACCACAGGCACCCCCAACATGAGTGATGTTAAGCTGGCCACGCCCACCCTGGCCCCCAAGGTCAAACGCAACCCTGATGCGGCCCTCAATGAAATCAAGATTGAGACCCCCTGGCCTAAATGATACCAGCCAGAGTATAGAAAAAACCTCAAAGAAGCCGTGGAAGTTCAGAAGATGTGGAGAGATCTGGCCTGCAGATTTGCCAAGAGTCGGACACAACTGAATGTAAATAAATCATCATTATGATCATCATCATTGTCCAACTTTAGCCATCCAAAGATTTTACTCCTGGGACCTGCCTAGTACAGTTTGAGTCCACCTCTCTCCATTTAGTCAGATTTGCAAAATAATCACATGCAGCCTACAAATAACGTTAGAGTTGTGTTATCCTTGGACACTTCATTTTTTCCAAACTACCAATTCCTGCCTTGCAGATACAACTTAGATCCTCTTCTGAACCACACTGATGATCAAATTTGGCAAGTTCTGAACCAAACCTTTATGATGAGCAAGGTATGTGGTTTGTGTTTTTGCATATTATTATTTGCTGGTTGTTATAAAAAAAAGACAGCATGTGGAATGAATAGATCTATAGATCAGTAGAGATAAGGATAAGATAGATAGAAAGATGGAAAGGAAGACAATTGATAGAGATAGAAATAGAAAGAGATATCTATCTTTATAGATACACATACAGATATACAGATATAAATATGATATATAAAGAGATAGATAGATAAATGATAGATAGATAGATAGATAGATAGATAGATAGATAGATAGATAGATAGATAGATAGATAGATAGATAGATCTATGGAGACTCAATCATACAGTCATGATTGTCCTAAGGATGATTTTTTAAAGAGACAACTGGACTTTCTGGTTTTTCTTTGAAGAAAAGAAAAACTCCATCAGAGCTGAAGAAGCTTCTTGGATGAAAAGTGAAATGTCTTCAAAGAAAAACAAGGAAGTCCAGTTGCCTCTTGAAAAAGCACCTTTGGGACATATAGACAAAGAGAAAGAAAGGAAAAGAAAAGAAAAGAAAAGAAGGGAGGGAGGGAGGAGGATGATAGATGAAAAATAGATAGATAGATGGTAGATGGTAGATGAGAGAGAGAGAGAGAGAGATTCAAACAAGTTAGCCATCATTGGATCGTTTAACACCCCAAGGCAAATTTTATGAGAACTATTCACTTCCTTGAGATACTAACCAAGTTTATATACTTGTTCTATAATATGTCTGCATCCCGTGGAGTTTACTTGTTGGAAAGAGAAGATGTTCCTAATCCCTAGATGTTGCTTGCACCGCAAAATGTTACATGGGCCATTTCTTTCTTTCTTTCTTTCTTTCTTTCTTTCTTTCTTTCTTTCTTTCTTTCTTTCTTTCTTTCTTTCTTTCTTTCTTTCTTTCTTTCTTTCTCTCTCTCTCTCTCTCTTTCTTCCTTCCTTTCTTTCTTTTTCTCCCTCCTTCCCTCTCCCTCCCTCCCTCCCTTGCTGCTGTTCCTTTCTCCTGTTTGCCAGCCTTCTCCCTTGCCTGTCACCTAGCATCTGTGTCATTTATCGCACGCTCCATTTACATCCGCATCACTTTGACCCAACAGAGAAGCAACGGTATCATTGTTAAAACCCATAGCCCGCCTTCAGCTATTGTGAGCATCAAAGAGAACGTTACAGCTGTGTCGTGTCCGTCGTGAAAGGAAGCTCGGAGTCAGTGACTTGGTTTCAGCTCTTTATTGGTTCCTGATACAGCTTAAGCTTGAAGGGAAAAACTGCGGCTTTTTATTCCCGAGCCGCGGCGGCCCCGGCCAATGACACCGCTTCGAATCTCCCGCGATTTGTTTCCACCAATCGCGGGGGATTCGCAACGGACCAATCAGTGCGGCTCGCTCGACCAATCCGGTCGCCGCGCGTCTTAACCAATCGCGACGCGGGGCTACGAGTATGTAAATTGACTTGTACAGAACAAGCTGTGTGGTATTTTCCCTTCCTCCCCGCTCCCTTCCTTGCTTTAGATTTCCAAACTACCAGGAAAGCTGGAGGCAGAAGTGGTCGAAAACGGGGAAAATTTTTCAGTGGGGGAACGACAGCTGCTCTGCATGGCGAGAGCCCTCCTGCGAAACTCCAAAGTGAGTCCGGCGGATGATTCTGACATGATTCAGGCTGGTCTTGAATATTTAACTTCAACCCCTTGAAGTTAAAAGATTGCTCAGCCTGCATTTCCAGCTATCAATCAGCCAACCAACCAATCAATCAATCCAGGGGTGGGGTTCAAAAATTTTAGCAATGGGTTCTCTTCCTGGTTGCTGGCTGGGTGTGGTCATGGGTGGGTGTGGCCTAGTTGGCCTCCTGCACCATGGCGAGGGGGGCGTTTTTGTCCTCCCCGGGCTCCGGAGGCTTTTTTCAAGCCTCCGGGAGGGCAAAAACAGCCTCCCTGGGCTCCGGAGGCTCTCTGGAAGCTGGAAATGGGCCCAAACATTCCGGAGGCCCATTTTTCATCCATGCACAAAACAAGGCTCTAAGCCAGGGGTCCCCAAACTTGGCAACTTTAAGACTTGTGGGCTTCCAACTCCCAGAATTCCTGAGCTAATATGACTGGAGGAGGAATTCTGGGAGTTGGAAGCCCACAAGTCTTAAAGTTGCCAAGTTTGGAGTCCTCTGCTCTAAGCCAAGGATCTTCAAACTTGGCAAGTTTAAGACTTGTGGACTTCAAGTCCCAGAATTCCTGAACTAACGTGATTAGAGGAGGAATTCTGGGAGTTGAAGTCCACAAGTCTTAAAGCTGTCAAGTTTGAAGACCCCTGCTCTAAGTGGAAGTAGGAATGATTCTGGGGATTGACGATGGTTCAGTTTAGGGATTTGATTCAACCAGATCTCCAACTCAACTTAGATGATCCAATTTGATGGTTGATTCAGATCAGATTCATTACATCCAAATTGGATGATCCAGAAGCCCTTTGCTCCTGAGGGGAAAAAAGGCTTTCTTTTCAAATCAAATCAACTTTTGAAGTGTGACGACTTTTTGGAGGACGTTGGAACATTTAGACAACCCTTTTGGGATTGTCCCAGCACAAAGGTGATTCTTCTTGTTATTTCCTTCTGCCCTGAAGGCAGGACAAACAGCAACGAGGGGAAACTTCATCATGGAGGAAAGCGATCTAGAACTTAAGAGAAATTTCTTGACAGTGAGAACAATTAACCAGTGGAACGACTTATCTCCAAAAGTTGTGGGTTCTCCAACACTGTAGGCTTTTAAGAAGAAACTGGACAGCCATTTCTCTGAAATTGTATAAGGTTTTCCTGCTTGAACAAGGGGTTGGACTAGAAGACCTTCAGGTTTCCTTCCAACTCTGTTATTCTGTTATGGTCAGTTATGCTTCCCAGCACCTGGCTTTATAAAAGCTCTCTTCGGTAACTTTATTGGCCCTCCCAAGTTTTTCTTCTAAGGGATCTTACCCTGTGCTTTATTTAAGCAATTGTTTGCCTATTTAAGAGACTGAATGTTTTGAAACAGTCGTTTTGGTGATTTGTTTCACCCTGCTCAAATGACAGACTGTTTAAGCAATACTGCAGTTCCAACACTGTCATAATAATGTTATTTTGTTTTGTTTTGTTTTAATCTGGGCCCGCAGGACATTCCTGTCGCTATTCCAGCCAATTCTGGTTTATCCAAGAAGCCAGTTCTGCTCTTTGGGGTTGCTATTCTTTACAAAAAAAGGAAGATGGTGCTATTGTTTAAAGGCTCCCATCCGCATGCAAAATGTCAACTCTACCTGATCTTGTTAATAAGAAAACCAAATATTTGTTTGGTTAAATAGGTGCTAAGGGACAACTGGCTTGCCGGTATCTCTGCTTGGCATCCTCCTTTTTGTTCCAAAAATACCTGTTCTGACATTTTGCTGCCTACCTCACCAAAAAGCCAGTGGTGGGATTCAATTTTTTTTTACTACCGGTTCCATGCGTGTGGCTTGGTGGGCGTGGCAGGGGAAGGTTACTGCAAAATCCCCATTCCCTCCCCACCCCACTAACCTGCTTTCCAGCTCCGTTCTCCTGTGCAGGGCAACCAAAGAAAACCCAGCTGATCAGCTGTGGGTGTGGCTTGGTGGGTGTGGTGTTCTGTGGGCGTGGCTTGGTGGGCGTGGCCTGGTGTACCATCTGCACATGACTATGGCTAGGCTCATGCGGCACCTTAATTCCAAACCAAGCCAACCACACTACATCAATGCGCTGCGGTTATTGTAAAACCCAGAGGTGCTTTATCAAAAGGCAACTGGAGTTTGTTTTTCCTTGAAGACATTTCACTTCTTATCCAAGGAGCTTCTTCGGTTCTGACTGAACGGTGGAGGATGGAAGGATTTATATTCTTTGCAGACATCTGGTCATTTGTATTTCTGAGAGTCGTTGAGGCCACTTGGAGGTTTATCTGTGTCCTCAGGGACACCTGAATAGTGCTACAATGAATAGTTCCACACCATTTGCACTATTCAGGTGACCCTGAGGGCACAAATAAACCTCCAAGTGGCCTCAATGTCTCTCAGAATAAGTGCAAATGACCAGATGTCTGCAAGGAATATAAATCCTTCCATCCTCCACCGTTCAGTCAGAACCGAAGAAGCTCCTTGGATAAGAAGTGAAATGTCTTCAAGGAAAAACAAACTCCAGTTGCCTTTTGAAAAAAGCACTTTTGGGACAACCATGACCTGGGTAATTGAGAATCTCCACAGACAATCATTGTAAAAAAACATCTTTGTCACATCAGTCCTCCAGCTGTTGAGTTGCCTTGGCTACTTTGTGTGCAAAGATTTGTGTACTTTTCCTTACTTGTAGAAAAAGACCGTTGCCCAACCTGTTTTTAATTCTCCCCACAGATTATCCTTCTTGATGAAGCCACCGCTTCTATTGATTCCGAGACAGATATGCAGATTCAGAGGACTAATCAAGAAGCATTTGTAAACTGCACAGTCTTGACAATAGCGCACCGCCTAAACACCATTCAAGAGTGCGACCATATTTTGGTGATGGATAAAGGAAAGGTATGGAACCGGAGGGGGAAAATATCCAGAAATATTCAGTTCATCAAGTAATTGGCGTATTGAACATTGGGATTATTTTCAGAAATGAATTCCTTTTTAACTATATGAATTCATTTCGCAGAAACGGGAAAATGATTTCTTTTTCTTAAGTAAACAATGTAGGAGAAACTGTGAAATGCATTTTATTCACATCCAACACCCCAGTAAGCAACCAAATAATACAAAAATGAACTAAAACAATCTTGGCATGAACTGGCCATGAAAGAGATGAAAGTTAGCACTAATGAGGTTACCTAGTTGGGTAATGAAACGCCTGCAAGAAAACAATCAAGGTCAGAGAGCATGAAGGACCCCATGTTCCTCCTCCTCCTCCTCCTCCTCCTCCTCCTCCTCCTCCTCCTCCCCATGAACCCCACTCCCTTCTAGCACAGATAATGTTGCAAAATTGGGTAATGAAATGTCTGCAAGAAAACAACCAAGCTCAGAGAGCATGAAGGACCTCCACAATCCCTCCTCTCCTCTCCTCCTCCTCAGAGAAGATCCAAGAATCACAGTCTTCCTCCTCCTCCTCCTCCTCTCCACAACCAAACTCCTTCTGGCACTGATAATGTCACATAGTTGGGTAATGAAACGTCTGCAAGAAAACAACCAAGCTTAGAGAGCACCAAGGACCCACACAGTCATCCTTCCTCCTCCTCCTCCTCCTCCTCCTCCTCCTCCTCTCTACAACCAAACTCCTTCTGGCACTGATAAAGTTGCAAAGTTGGGTAATGAAACGTCTGCAAGAAAACAACCAAGCTCAGAGGGCACCAAGGACCCCAGACAGATGGGAATCTACTTCAGATCGCACATATTCCCAATCATGAGCCCTATTTTAGAAAGTGTCCTTCAATAAAGGAGCCCCCGGGGCAAACACAATCCACAAAAAAGGCCCAGAACAAGCCAACGGTTTTCTCTTATTGAGCCCTTCTGGATTCTTCCCCCTCCCATCCTCATTTTCCTTTCCCAAGACAAGTGCTGATACATTTCTACAAAGGAATTATTGAGTCTGTCATCTGCATCTCTATAACTGTCTGGTTTAGTTCTGCATCCCAACAGGACAGACACAAACTTCAGAGGATAATTAGGACTGCAGAAAAAAACAATTATTACCAACCTGCCTTCCATGAAGGACCTGTATACTGCACGTGTCAAAAAGAGGGCTGTGAAAATATCTACAGACCCCTCACATCCCGGACATAAACTGTTTCAACTCCTTCCCTCAAAATGACACTATAGAGCACTGCACACCAGAACAACTAGACACAAGGATAGTTTTTTCCACGAAAGCCATCACTTTGCTAAACAAATGATTCCCTCAACACTGTCCAACTATTTACTAAGTCTGCATTACTATTACTATTAATCTTCTCATCCCTCCTTATCGGTCATCCCCTCCCACTTGTGACTGTAGGACTGTAACTTTGTCGCTTGCATCCTTACGATTTATATTGACTGTTTCCTAGTATGATTTGATTGCTTATTTGTACCCTATGACTAACATTAAGTGTTGTATCTTATGATTCTTGATGAATGTATCTTTTATGTACCCTGAGAGCATTTGCACCATGAAAAATCCCTTGTGTGTCCAACCACCCTTAGCCAATAAAGAATTCTATTCTATTCTGTTCTATTTTAGCTGGTAAGAAATGCATGCAGGAAATTCACTGCAGGCTTGCTTCCTACTTGACATTTGCTAATGCATCTGACATTTGTTATTTTTTTCGTTCCTGATTATTTTGAAGGTTGTTACCTTTGGCAAGCCGAAAGAGATATTCAAACATCCCAGTTTTCATTTGCCCGACGTATCATCACCATCAGTGTTTTCTAGGTGGAGTTTGAACAAATAAGTCACCGCAGAGAGGAAGGTGAGTAAATGGAGAATTCATGCTCAACTCACCCAACTTGCCCATAGATGTTTCCGCCACGGATCCCCCTTCTGCTTGGTGAGTTCCGAAGTCAGTGCGAAGCCGGTGATTAAAACAGAGAACTTGATGAGGAAAACATGAAAGAATCCCCAGGACCCGTCTTCCAACAGACCGCTATCATCTTGTGTTGGGCGTTTTGAAAATAAAAACAACCGCCATTTCATGTGCAAAGAAAAAACAATGTTTCTCGGGTACATTGATTTCCAGACCGGGGGTGGGATGAAAACCTGGAACATTTGCAATCTGTTAAACTTGAATATATTCCAGTATAGATACCCTTCGAATTTACGACCACCATTGAGCCTAATATTTATCTCGCTAAGTGAGAAATTTGTTAGGCGGGGTTTTGCTCCACGTTACAACCTTTCCTGTCATATTTGTTAAGTGGATCGCTGCAGTTGATAAGTTAGTAACCTGGTTGTTCTTTGAATCTGGCTTTCCCCTTCGCTTTGCTTGTCAGAAGGTCACAAAAAGAGATCCCATGACACACACACACACACCCCCCGGACACCGCAATTGTCATATCTACGAGTTGGTTGTGAATTGTCCGAATTTTGATCATGTGACCGTAGGGACACTGCAATGGTGGTAAACTGGAAAAACGATCATAAATCCCTTTTTCTCAATGCTGTTGTCACTTGGAATAGTCACTAAATGAACTGTTGTAAGTCAAGGACTACCTGTATTCTCTACGAGGAGAAGGAGGTGAACAGAGAAGCAGAAGATCTAAACTCCAGTGGAGAAAGCACAGTGAATTATTTCTATCTCTCTTGGTCCCTTATTAAAGTTTGCAATAAAAACTGCTGCTCTTTCTTTCTTTCTTTCTTTCTTTCTTTCTTTCTTTCTTTCTTTCTTTCTTTCTTCTTTCTTTCTTTCTTTCTTTCTTTCTTTCTTTCTTTCTTTTCTTTTCTTTCTTTGTTCTTTCTTTCTTTCTTTCTTCCTTCCTTCCTTCCTTCCTTCCTTCCTTCCTTCCTTCCTTCTTTCTTTTTATTTCTTCCTTCCTTCTTTCTTTCTCTTTCTTTCACTTCCTTCCTTCCTTTTGTTTTCTTTCTTTCTTTCTTTTGTTTTCTTTCTTTCTTTCTTTTTCTTTCTCTCTCTCTCTCTTTCTCTCTCTCTCTCTTTCTTTCTTTCTTTCTTTCTTTCTTTTCTTTTCTTTTCTTTTCTTTCTTTGTTCTTTCTTTCTTTCTTTCTTCCTTCCTTTCTTCCTTCCTTCTTTCTTTTTATTTCTTCCTTCCTTCTTTCTTTCTCTTTCTTTCACTTCCTTCCTTCCTTTTGTTTTCTTTCTTTCTTTCTTTCTTTTGTTTTCTTTCTTTCTTTCTTTTTCTTTCTCTCTCTCTCTTTCTTTCTTTCTTTCTTTCTTTCTTTCTTTCTTTCTTTCTTTCTTTTGCTTTCTTGCTTTTCCTATTTTGTTCTTTTTCATGCCTCCATTTTCAGCATCCTCACGGATGGAAATATCCATCTTTTTACCTTTAATCTTTCCAGGCAGGGCGTGCCCCGTTTTGCATAAGATGCCACTCTGGTCTGCCTGGGTTGTAGAAATTAAACTTGGATGGGGGAGGGGCAGAAAGAAGACTGGGCAGCTATGTAGATTCCTTTCCTTCCCCCCACCCACTCTGTGATCCCAATTTAAACCCTGCATCAATCTAGCCACTCCATGGCAGCCGATGAATCCTCCTGCAACTCGTGGAAAACACGTACGCTTTTTCATAAAATGGGTTTGTCTGAAAAGGCTCTGTCCTCTTCCCTTCTGATTTGGGGATCGCAAAAGGGATCCCCCGTGTCCTTTCCGTTCCCCAAGGGTCCTTTTGTTGCACACTACGAGAAGGGAAGAGTCGTAACCTCGATTGTTAGCTTTTAAAGGGAAGTCGTTTACCTGGCAAAAAAACCCATCCCTGGTCACGTTGATTTATCTTTCAAGCTATTCCCACGGAATAACAAACAGTCCCCTTGGGAAGGATAAATATAGCCATTTAATTAATATTTGCTTGTTCCCATGGTTTTACTGCACCCCCGATTGCTAAACTCACTGCCATTTTATTGTACACAAATCACATTCCTACGTTCATATCTGGCTTTAAATTTCACAGAGAGCTGTATAGTACTACTACGTACCGTTACTATTCGTCAACTCCTTTTGTTTTTTCTTAGCATGAAGGCAACAGCGTAACCAGGGCTGCCTTTGAATAACTAACAATAGTACCGTAATGAGAATCTAAAATGTTCCTAACGGACGTTGGAGTGGGAACATCATCGCCTAAGGGGAGCTACAGTTACATGGGCCACCTTCAGAAGTTGCAAGAACAGGTGCAGGAGAGAACAAGCCAACCCCTCCTTCTACAAATGGACAGCAACTGGCACGACTCAATTGCAGTGCAGGAATGATCATATGTTTCCTGCAGGAAAACTGATCTAGTAGAATATTCCCTGCTGAAAGAAACCGTGTAGTGGTGGAGCTCTCGCCTCACAAGCAGGTGTGAGTTCAATCCTAGGTGCTCCCAATCACATGTGAAGCTACATTGGTGTGAGTTTGTGCAAATGCAGATGTGGGCACACCCACCACTTGCACAAATGGAACTGTGTGGATTCATGTGCGCGCCTACCATTCACACAGAAACTATGCCCTCTTTCTCTCCCCACTCCCCCCCCGCATGCTGGACTGCCAAGCTGGAAAGGTTGGGGACCGCTGAGCTAAAGCATTGGTCAGTTTGATTGTTGCAGTATGGAGTGTTCAGGATTGTGCCCCTTTTCAGGACACTCCGTTCCATACAATGCCATTGGTCTTTCTGATTTATCTCCTTTCTTTCAATCAACCACCATTTCATGGTCATGGACGGCCTTCCTCATCTCCACTACATATATTTCCAAAGTCACAGAGGCTTAGATTTCCAAACATGGAGATTAAATGCTGCAGCAATTATAGCTCCTAGAAGTAATTGCAATCTCTCCTTAAAAGAAGATTATCAAGTCGCTACTCAAGTGAAATCAATCTAGATTCAAATAAACACAACACAGCTGCTTGATTTCATATTCTGGTATGCAAGCATGCCTAACATGAGTTTTCAAGAGCCAATCGTTGAAAAAAACCACCCTCATATCCTGGTTATGAGCGTCTCGGCTGTACAGGTCCCTATTAAGTTAGAGAGTTATTTTCCTTAATTCAGTAAGGCTCTTATATCCTCACAGTGATTTCCCTGACACTATCAAACCTTTCTTCTAAAGCCCCCCCCCCCCCCGAACTAATCTTCTAACATGGCTATCCCAAAGATGAAGATGTTGCAGCTGTGAAATGGTCTTGGGAAAAGATAGAACTGATATTATTCTGTTTCAGGCTTCAAATTCACACACACACAGAGCAACTAGCTGAGAATAGCAATTTACTCAAGGCTGGGGAGGTAACAGCAGATAAGGGGAGGAATGAAAACCGGCAAAATCTCTTGGAAAGAAAACTTGCCTGGGTGGCTCTGCTTTCAACAGGAACACACCGAAGATGAGTCCAAATCCAGTCCAAAGTTCCAAAAGCCAACCCAAGTTTGTCAGGCAGTCCAAGGTCAGAGTTTCCAAGCAAGATTCATAGGACTGTCCTGCCGGAATAGGAAATCAGACAGTTGTTTAATCAAGAAATATGGGTCAGAACTGCCTCTTAAATCAGGCCAGTTATTTTCAGTGAAGAGTGTTTGTCTCTTGCTTGGCAAGGAGCCCTATTGAGTATCTTTACTCTACGCTCCATTCTATTTGCCAAATCAGAGGGCTTGGGGACCACACCTACCATTTGGACCAAGGCCCCTGTTCTGGTGATGCTTGTTCCTGGCTTGGTTTTTTTCTAAGGCTGAGACCCCACAGATTCAGCTGATTCCTGGGCCAGGAGAGACATAATGTAGGTGGACCATTAGTAGAATTCAATTTTTTTACTACTGGTTCTGTGGGCATCACTTGGTGGGTGTGGTGTGGCTTGGTGGGTGTGGTAGGAGAAGGTTACCACAAAATCCCCATTCCTTCCCCACCCCACCCCACTAACCTGCTTTCCAGCTCCATTCTCCGGTGCAGGGCAACCAAAGAAGACCCAGCCGATCAGCTGGGACTCGGGAGGCAGAGCATAAATGGGGGCAGGGCCAGTCAGAGGTGGTATTGGCAGGTTCTCTAATCTACTCTAAATTTCCGCTACCGGTTCTCCAAAACTGGTCAGAACCTGCTGAATACCATCTCTGTATAAGACATATTTCTCCGTAAGACTGAGAAATCAAGCCTGCTAAATGATGGACCAAGATAAAGTAAGCTGGCTGTTGCAACGTTTGAATGTTGCAAGGTAGATAAACCAATTTCCTCCAGTCCTTTTGGAATACAATTTTCACACTCTTTACCTTTGGACATTTTGTCTGAGAATTTTGGGTTTTGGAAATGATCATCTAAAAACTCTCTGGTAGGTACTGAATTGTAGAAAGGTCTCCTTGGTTGTTGTTTTTTTCTTCTTTTTATGACCCTGTCATCTTTTGCTTCGGGATGGGGTCAGGGCAACTTGAGAGGAGCCGAGCATTTACTGGCCGGATGCCCTTCCTGACACCTATGCAGAGTTCACAGCAGATATTTTCTCTTTGTATCCTTGATAGAGGAATATTTTTTGCTGCCTAGGATAGAACTCTCAACCTTCCAAGTGAGAGGCAAACACCTTCACCTTTAGGCTACCGCACCTTTCAAAGAACAATCTCTTAATAGATCACAGTAATTAGAAATTTTAAGGTAACATGCAGCTGAAGACGAGCCTTTATCCATTGCGACCTTGTTCTTGAATAGAGGAGTCACAATCTCTTAGACCTATCTACATTGATAGAGAATTGGGCATGGCCAGTTTAAATGAAAAGAAGAACTGGGGTGACACACAATAGCAGTGTTCTAATATCTGAAGGGCTGCCCCAAAGAAGAGGGAG